TTTGTGCTTAGAAAATGAGGTATCTTTCCCTTCTGCAGTAGCAAATGAGAGCAATGTCGGCTTACCGCCCATGGATAAGGATCAAACATTTCTCCCGTGGAGAGCAAAACCGGTTTGGGTTTTTGGCAATCTTCCTGATATTGGCTTGGCTTTTTTATGGAGTCTCTCACCATCTTCAGAAATGGATTGATCTGCAAAAAGATGACTCACATTGTATAATTGATGAGCTTCACTTTTAGAAATGATACAAGATCTATCTCATTTCCTGACCTCTGTATCTCCTTGTTGAAACCCAAACGCTCCAGGTCCATCCGTCGTCCCTGCTGCAAAACCTGGTCCAACAGCAGCCGGGCACGTCCTCACCGTGCCTTTGCCTTCTACCTGAACTTCAAGATTCGTGAAGTTCAGGTAGACATGACGATAATCGATCTTACCTCGTAATTCATCTTTCGCCGACGTGAATAGCTCTGCTGCCTTCTTGAATTGCCTGTCGCCGATGATCTTAGTGCTCAAAGTCTCGTCCGGATACCTGAGAGCATAGAAGAAGTACACAAAAGAGGCGCCAAATTAGCACAAGCAAGTAGCAACGAGCTAAGCTCATTGGGAATTCAGGGTTTTGACTTTACCCTGGCCCACGGCCAACGCAGAGCTGGTCGTTCCCGCCACAAGAAGAGCGATTAAAATCGCAAGGCTTTCCTGTGTCGACGCAGAATGCTCCGAGAACGTTCGGCGTCACGTCGCCGACGTTCGATTGGCAGAAAGCTCCGACGAATTCCCTGTCCTTCCTCACCCTGAACCCCTGGCTGGTCGTTTCCCGGCAAGTTTCCCCGCCGGTGGCTTTGACTGTTCCTGCCTTGGCGACCAATTTGTCGATGTTCACGGCTGCGGAGGGGCTTGGTTTCCCGGCTGCGGTCGAGGAGGAGTTGGAGGCGAACCAATCCTCGAAGAACCTTGCGGCGGCCCCTTTGTTGTCGCCGCTGATGAGCTTGTTGTCTCTGGACATCGACGTGCCGTGGGTGGCGTACCAGCTGAATGCTCCGACGCTCTTCCCGGTAGCCGCGTCGACGAACTTCAGAAGGGTCATCTCCTTGTCGACGTTGGACTCGTACCTCGCTCTCTCCTCCGGTGGGTTGGCGAGGTAAGCGCTTGGGCTCCTGTTGATTCCCGCGTTCTCTACGTCACCTGGGGACAAAGTAAAAGCGGGAAGAGTTGGAAATTCGATTGTGTGGCCTTTGTGTTCGATGAAATGACTGAATGAATGTGTGTGGGGGAAAACGCTTTGCCTGTGTTGATGAAAATGGAGCCGGGTTTCAGATTGTTGTGAGCCTGGACTACGCTGAGCTCAATTGCATCGACGATAGCGTCGAACGATTGTCGGACGAAGCCAAGAGAAGTGACGATGTAAAGCACGTACTGCAAATAGCCACCGGGGCCGGCGTGGGTGTGAGTGCCGCTGATCGCCACGTTTTCTTGGGTGTATAGATTTCCAAACCTTCAATCACGAGCATCTAGTTTGTTACTTAATCCTTTCCAATTCGAGAATAGTTTGGAATCTGGGTTCGTGGGTTTGCTCGTTAGTACGGAGCTAATCTTGCAAGTCGAGTTCTAATCTAAAGGTATTCGTCGGACACTAAGTGTCAAATAGATTAATGTCCACTTAGATGGAGCAACTAATCTGTCAAAATTAGTCCCAGTTAGAATAGTATTACGATTTTCAAGTCCTTAATTTTTTTTATCACACATCCTACTATTAATCCGAAAATTAAGTGAATATGTGTACCGGTACCTGGAATTCAATCTGTCGAGCACTTTAATGGTAACGAGCTGGGACGCCATGCAGCCATCTAGGTTGACGAATGCAAACCTCGACCCGTTCGTCTCGCTTTCAGCAACGATGAAGGTCCGAGCTCGTAGCCGGAAATGGATCCCGGCAGCGTTCTGTTTGATGTTCGCATAACCCATCAAGTTAACCTCAGCAGCAGGACCGGTCATGTCGTGGCTGCCCGTGCCGATCAAGTACTCGCCATCGGCACTGGCGAGTTCTGTTTCAGTGAAGCCCGCGAAGATAAGTAACAACAGCAGCAACCGTGGTGACATTTTAAGCATTTGATTCGACCTGCGTACTAATAATAAAGAGGCAGTTCCGTAATATGATTGCTTTGGATCCGATTGCCTCTATTTATGGTTTTAGAAGGCATGTTGGCAAAGTGGCTGAGAATTCCTAAGTGGGGAGCCATTGACACTAACGTTGGTTTTGATTTGCTTAGTAAATCGCTCTCAGTAACAGAGTAAGCAAGAAGTTCCCCCTCCGGCCTCCCCCCAGGGTATATTTCTTAGGGATTGGAATTTGGTACTGCTGGCCGTTCATCGAGGAATTTGGGCGGTCTGCAAACTGAAGTCCAGACAGAGTACTTGCCCTTTAAGTAATCACAAGTGTTCTTGCTAGTGTAGGTTCATTCGTAGACTTCAATTTGTCTGTACAATGCGAATAGCATTTAGACATCAAAATAACATTTTAGAATTACATCAATTTTAACCAATCCGACTATCGTGCTCACAGGGCGTCTTTGAGAACCTACTCACAGAGTCATTGAGCCATCGATGCGTACGTTGATCTCTCCGAGAACGTTGGATTGGTACGCGTCACATTCTATTTACAAATTGTCACTACATCCATTCAATGACCACGGAGCATCCATCCAATGCGCAATCTGATAGTCATGCACCCCTGTGAGTACGTTCTCACAAATTGAAACCACGGTGCCAGCCCCGTGATGCCCATAGGAGGATCCATTGAGTCGAAAGTAAAAGCATCAAAACTCCCCACTTTTCAATCTTCCAAGAAGTCCACAGATTTGAAGGTTTTTCCAACGAAGTACGTACAATATGGTAATGGTAGCTTCCCCTTGAAGTCCTCCTTTAACCGAATCATTCAAGCTTCAGCTTTTTTCTAATGAATGCCTACCATGCATGCCTGCTGTCTTAATGATTCTTCTTCGTCGCTGGGGCCTGGGAGGCAGAAGAAGCTAGCAAGTCACTCGGTCGGTATAATGGCGAGATCCCACACCCCATACTTGTCAGCAAGTTTTTCGTAAAAGTTGGGCTGCCCCAAAAAAGCAACCGAAAGAAAGAAAAAGAAACCAAACGATTGGGGTGGGGGAAGAAAAGGAAAGGGAGGAGAGCCTAAAGCTGACATGGAAAGCAAATTCATGGTTGTGTGCCTTAATTTTACATAACTAAAAGGAGTTCATGATGATTGGATCCATTTAAATTTTTATATTTTTTTGAATTCGGTAGGTAAAATAAATATCACGTAGAAAATTGATGATCAGGTTTTGAGAACGTAATGAAAGTTTAGATAGGAGTTCAAGTTTTTGTTTTTTTATGAAGACTCGTAAGCTTTCCAGAAAAGGATCCTTCTACTCCTTCCTTGTAACACACATAGTTATTTCTTTGTACATTGTTTCTATAAGTTTTATGTAAATCAAATCACATGTGATTACTCGTTGAAAAGGAGATTATTATTATGACCGTCACTTTTTTCTTGTGTTGTTGAGTATTCTAGCTGATGCATTTGCGCGGCGGGGCTGCAGGAGTGCATTTTTCGGTTTATTAATTATTATTCTTATTTGGATATTCCTCGGATTTTGGTTTTTTTCACGGTTTTCTCGTTTAATCCATCCACTCAAATATACACCCACAAATTTACTTGACCCAAATTAACTCGGTTTCATGGGTGATATGTTAAGGCCTTGTTTGAAACCTCTGATTCCAGACGTATTCTCAGTATACATGTATTCTATAAAATACAATATTTTTTTGACTTGATGTAATAACATGATGCATGTATTCATAATCCATGTTGTATTCCTAATACATAGAAAATTATGTATAGTGAATCTTACCTTTTTGGTGAGATTTTAGTATCCATAGTTTATTTAAACTATAATCCTAATCCACACATTCTTTTATGGTTTCCAAACAATGAATTTTCCAACCACACTTTCTTAGCATACACATAATCTTTAATACACACATTATTGCAATACATCCTTTCCAAAATCAAAGGGTTCCAAACCACCCCTTAAAAAGAAAAATGAACCGGGCATTTGGGTACTTCTCCAAAAATAAAAGCTCAACCCGTTGGTAATGTGGCAGAACCAGAAAACGCAGGCACTTATTATCTCTTTAAAAGAACAAGTTACAACTTTACTGTTTGGTAGAGTCACATCCCGCCACTGTTACTCTTTTTGCTTTTTTGGCCCTCTTGTATTTGACTGATATTTTCTCTGACGCGTTCAGGCGGCTCCCATCAAACCAATGGCACTCTTGTAATTAGCTCTCTACTCCTGTCCCATTGCATTTAATTTCATCCATTACTCTCCCTCTCTCCTTCTCTCTCACCATCACTTTTCCTCTTTCAACTCACCAATCCATTATTCTCCCTCTCTCCTTCTCTCTCAGTGACTGAAAACTGATTGAGCAATAGAAGAAGAAGAAAGAACGTGAAAGAAGAGAAGAGGGGCAGCCAAAGAAGAAGAAGAACGTAGGAGGAGAGGAGAGCCATCCAAACCTGTATATCAACAGCTAGGTTTTAGGAGAGAAGGCTGAGGCGGTTGCGGGAGGCCCCGTCGACAGAGTTGCAGGCGAGCCTGGAGAAGACGAGAAGACATGATTAGTGAGAGAGAGCATGTGGTCGGCGGCGGCCAGGGGTGGTGGGGAATGGGGATAGTGTATGGGTTTTTGCTTTGTGTTAAAAGAGGTGAAGGTTAGATTCGGTATTTGGTAGCGGTTGCGGTGACGCCGACAAAGGTGGTGGTGGTGGTTACCGGCGGTGGTAGAGGTGAGTTGATGATCTCCATAATTATGTATGGATATTAAGTTGTTTCTGATTTAATTTTAGAGTTTTCACATGTAGATTGCTTTTGTTCACCATCCATATTCATCTCCCTCCATGACTCTAGAAGAAGATGACATTTACAGAGGATTCAACGAGGAAAATGAAACATGAAGCTCTTTCTCAACCCACCTGCACCATGACGCTGGTGTGCAACTCGACCTCCCACTTACTTATTGACGATGACACACACAAAGTAGAGCAGAATAAGAAAAGAAAGGACTCGGTGAAGAAGAAGGCCGAGGATGAGGAGATCCCAAAGAAGAACATGGAGGATTGGAAGGTAGAATCTAATTTTTGGTTTTGGCCTATTGTATTTTATTGGTTTGATTCATCATCTTCCCCATTCTTTTCAGATCAAGGGATGCCAACGAAACCGATCTGATGGCGGCAATTATCCGGAAGAAGTTCGCCGACCCGTCCAACGCTTCGTCGGAGTCGGGAGGTGCGGCGGCGGAGGTGACCTCGCTGATCCTCGACAACAGGGAGTTCGTCATGATCCTGACGACTACGGTGGCCGTGCTGATCGGGTGCGTGGTGGTGCTGGTCTGGAGAAGATCCAGCTCCCCCAAGCGGAGCTACCAGCCGCCGACGCCGTTGGTTGTCAAGAAGAAGGAGGAGGATGTGGTGGTTGATGATGGGAAAAAGAAGATCACTGTGTTTTACGGTACTCAGACTGGTACTGCTGAAGGATTCGCCAAGGTTGGTTTCGTTGCGGTTTTCCCCCCTTTCTCTCTCTCTCACACACATCTCAGCTCGCAATGGGAGCTCTCTGGTTTTTATCGATTGGGTTTGTATTTATTTGAATTGGGTAATTTTTTTTTGTTGCAGGCTCTGGCCGAGGAGGCGAAGGCGCGGTATGAGAAGGCTGTATTCAAAGTTGTTGACATGGTGGGTTGAACAACCAGAGAATTTTTCCCGATTTCATGTTAACTGTTTTGTTCTGAATTGCCGAGTTGTGTGGTGGTGTTGAATTTTGTGGCCTCTGGTTTTGTTACAGGATGATTATGCCGGGGATGACGATGAGTACGAGGAGAAGTTCAAGAAAGAGTCTATAGCTTTCTTCTTCCTCGCTACGTGAGTGGATAGTCTGACTCTGCCACTTTCTAAAGCTTCCATCTTTTATTTAAATTTCTGGTTTTGTAACATGGGTTGCTTGGTGGTTGGGTGGGCAGGTATGGAGATGGTGAGCCGACTGATAATGCAGCAAGGTTCTACAAGTGGTTTACTGAGGTAAAATTTCAGCTGGATTGAGTGAAATCGGCCATTGAATTCAGTCTATGGGTGGAATGTAAATTGACTGACTGCATGCAACAGGGTAAAGAAGCCAGAGGAGAATGGCTCAAGATGAATTATGGAGTGTTCGGTCTTGGCAATAAGCAATATGAACACTTTAATACGGTATTGAAGAGTGTTTTGAGATGGGTGCCTTTCAGAATTTGTTTTGATGCCTGTTTATTACGGGGATGAACTCTTGACTAAATTTATGTATTTGTTGGTTGATACTATAGATTGCTAAGGAGGTGGATGATCTTCTGGCTGAACAAGGTACAGTTCTTTATTCCCTTGAAGTTTCGTATAGAAATGGAGTTCCTTTTTATAGTTAAATGATGGGGAACTAGAACATTTAGTAGTTAATGGAATCTGGTACACAATATGATATATATAGTGCTGTTAGATAATTGGGTGCTTCTCGTGGACTGAACCGTTTAATGAAGCTTGTAATGAGAACTAAAGTTAGGTTATGGAAGATTGATATCATGCGACTGATGGTGGTAACTCTTTGCATTGTCCAGGTGGCAAGCGCATTGCTCCCGTGGGTCTAGGAGATGATGATCAATGCATGGAAGACGACTTTTCTGCTTGGTGAGTGAGCTTACTTAGTAGTCCTTATTATTGCGCCAAAGAACTATTTCCAGATGGTAAAATTCTGATATGCCTTCTTCTCTTGATGGCAGGAAAGAGTTGGTATGGCCAGACCTCGATGGTTTGCTTCTTGATGAGGATGATCAATCATCTGCAACCACCCCGTATACTGCTGCGGTGTTGGAATACCGGGTTGTGTTCTATGACTCCACTGATGCACCAGTAGAAGACAAAAGCTGGAGTGGTGCCAATGGTCACGCTGTCTATGATGCTCAACATCCATGCAGGTTCATACATTGATGTTTCACTGCCTGTGCTTTTACTGTTTTGCTTTGTGTAGTTTCTCAGTCTAACATAAACGATCTACTGAATCACAGGTCTAATGTTGCTGTGAGGAAAGAGCTTCACACTCCTCTTTCTGACCGATCTTGCACCCATTTGGAATTCGACATTGCTGGCACTGGACTCTCGTAAGTCATGGTGTTTATAAAGATATAATATATTTGTTCTGTTTTAAACATCACACAAACGCTCATCACTGCGTTTGTTTCTCAGATATGAAACTGGGGATCATGTTGGTGTGTACTCTGAGAATGTCGAGGAGGTTGTAGAAGAGGCACTGCAGTTGTTAGGTTTGTCGCCCGACACATACTTCTCCGTCCACTCCAATAAAGAGGACGGGACACCACTCAGTGGAAGCTCATTGCCAACACCATTCCCACCGTGCACCTTGAGAACAGCTCTGCCTCGATATGCCGATCTTTTGAATGCTCCCAAAAAGGTTAGAATACTTGTACTATTCTTTCACGTTTCTGCTCTTTTTCAAAGCTGATTGGAGCTCTTCTCTAAGAAATTGTGCATCTTCCATTTCCAGTCTGCTTTGCTTGCTTTAGCAGCTCATGCTACTGATCCTACTGAAGCCGATAGATTGAGATATCTCGCTTCACCTGCTGGCAAGGTGCTGATTTCTTACACAAGACTTTAGTTGATTTTATCACTTGTATTGGTGGTTTAATAGGTAAGTTAACAGTCGTTCTCTTTTCTTTTAACATTCTACAGGATGAATATGCAAAATGGGTAGTTGCTGAACAGAGAAGTATCCTTGAGGTCATGGCTGCATTTCCCTCTGCAAAGCCTCCACTTGGTGTTTTCTTTGCTGGAGTTGCTCCTCGCTTGCAGCCTCGATTCTATTCTATCTCTTCATCTCCAAGGTGAGCATAGTTTTACCCTTTTCTTTTCCCCCTCAATGATCTATTTTTCTTTTCTAGACTATTTAAACTTTTCATCTACTGATCATCAACAATTGATTTCTAACAGGATGGCACCATCTAGAATCCACGTGACTTGTGCTCTGGTGCTTGAGAAAACTCCAGGGGGACGGGTGCACAAGGGAGTGTGCTCAACTTGGATGAGGGTATGTACTATTTTCTATCATGTGTTTGCGCAGCTTGCTGTTCTATTTTTCTGACTGGATGCCAGTGGATAGAGAGGCAAATGGTAATGGTTCACCTTTGATCCTACAGAATGCTGCTCCTATGGAGAAGAGTCAAGACTGCAGTTGGGCCCCCATTTTCATTCGGCAATCGAATTTCAGACTTCCTGCAGATACTAAAGTTCCCATCATAATGATTGGTCCTGGGACTGGACTGGCTCCTTTCCGGGGCTTCCTGCAGGAAAGACTAGCACTCAAAGAATCCGGAGCAGTACTTGGGCCCTCTATCTTCTTCTTTGGTTGCAGAAACCGTAAGACGGTAAGCTGCTGTTTCCATGGATTCTGGTGCATGGGTTTTGTTGTGATTTTTCGTGGTCTCACGATGTCACGGTTTTAAATTCAGGATTTCATCTACGAGGATGAACTCAACAACTTCGTCGAAGCCAGTGCACTCTCTGAGCTGAATGTTGCCTTCTCGAGGGAAGGAGCTACCAAAGAGTATGTGCAGCACAAAATGATGCAGAAGGTAAATCCTCTCTTTTGTGGCTTCGGTGCAATGATCACCATCTTTCTGTTCTTGTTGGTACCGGTTGCATAAAAGCATTGTCTCACCTCATCATTTTCATATGTATGTGAAAGGTGCACGACGATTTCCTCTGCATTTTTTTGCTCAACGAGTTCATTAGTGCCACTGTAGAGGAGAAGCTTCAAGAACCGATGGTCAATTAGATCTTCGTCACAGTAGCTTGCACGAGGACAGTGGCAATGACTTGGTGAAATCTTTACCCTCTTTTCCTTTTTAAAAATTCCTCTACAAAATTTGCAGAATCGAATCTATTCCTCAAGTTGTCACCTGGGTGATTGCTCTATCGTATATTTTTCTCTTTCATTCCAATTTTCTTTGTTGTTTTTCCATGATGTATATCGTTTTTTGATTTTTTGTATTATTATAAAAGAGGATAGGAGGATCACTAAGGTCTCCCAGTTGATTAAACAGCTCTCATCTCCTGAAGGAAAAGAAGAGGTAAAGACAGAGGCTCAAATTTGGGACAAGTACTCCTGCTGGCCAGTTCCTTGAGTAGTTCCCTCATGACTTTTTGTTTGGAAATTGTGCAGAGACGCATCAAAATTCAATGGAGATGATTTGTTTATGTTGATGGTTTTGGGAGGTCAAAAGTTCCCCTATTGTCTGTTGGTAAAGGCATGTTTGCCGCCTTTCTTCCCTTTAATAGTGTGGTTCAGTTCATTTGAATTTATCAGCTTTGAGATTGTCTTTCTAACTTAGATTTTGGTTGGTTATTAGCCGCTGTGGAGATGGGGATTGTAATGTATAAATATGGTGGTTTCAGATTTTGTGGCTCCTTGATATCAATGGTCACTTGCAACATGCAACAGTACAGAGGGATGGAGATGAAATGTAGAGCTTTCCTGCAACTACTCTATACTTTCATTGTTCAGGTACTTCCTACTCTGCTTCATTAGATACTTCCATCTTCCAATGACTGTCTTGCTTGCTTCTGCATTTTCAGTTAAATATTTGGTTATAATCTGGTGCGCTTCATCACTGGATGCTGATTGCCAAGATTTAAATGCTTAAACATGTTTTTTGTAGATAATTGGTGGCACCTCACACTATGATGCGCTTACAAGTTCAACTGCTTCTGGAGTAAGTTGTCTTGATTTAATGGTTGATCATGTGCTTCGTTTGTTTTGAAAACATTGTGCCCCGTTTGGTTCTTTGTGGTCTACCGTGTTCGTTATTCTTTTCTCCCTTCTTTAATGATAGTGGGACATTAAATTGATAGAATAGTTCTGTTTACAGCATTCATTAGGACCAGAGAGTCAGTTATAAGGCCAAATCTTCAAAAGATGTGCAGTTGTTCCCATGAAAGAGAATTAAGAGAAGAATCCCTTACCTGACTAGACTTTGCAAATCATTGTCGCTTACAGTACAGGTCTCTACGCATTCGCTGCTTACCTTTAGTTCTCCGTTTTTTTTAATCTTCCCCTTCCTTTTTCTTCTTTCTTCTTTGCAGCCTTTGGTTCTTACTTGTCATTGATATGCCGTTTAGTTGCTTCCATTCCTTACAGATCCGCTCACAGTCTACAAAATTTGCTTTGCTTTGTTAGTTTAGAGAAGTAGGAGTACATTGGGCCAGTTCTGTATCATAACTTCACTAGATGACCTTGCATAGAATTTGTAATTGCCAACATCAGCTCAGAGAACCCGATGTCAGATGGATAATACAACCAAGAGTTTATAACTGATCTAATATCAGAAATTGACTCTCTTACCCTGCTTGCTCTACCCAAAAAGGTTTCCTTTCCGTCAACTTCTCTACTGATGCCTTTCGTTTCCTTCGAATTGTTGTATATGGGTCTACTGTAAACTTGATGCGTGCACTTAATTACTTAAATATTGCAAGTGTCCATGCTTTTTAGTAAAGTAGCTATGCTAGGGACTCTTGGCATATGCTTGAAAGCATGTTTAGTTTGTTATCATTGCCCATTACGTACTTGATCTTTAAAATCGGTGATGCTATTACTATTTAGACATATACACTTACACGGGAATTTGAACCTGAGTGAAGTTGCTGTCGATTCACAAGCCTCCGTGTCCCTTTGCTTAATGTTCTTCATTTGGTGGTCTAATCAATTATGATGTTCTGAGGCCTGGCTTCTAATGTACACTGTGTAAGCAGGATTTATTTGTTTTTCTATTGCTGGGTGTATAAATTATACTTGAAAGGAGTTGTCTGAAAGGGCTAATGAGAATGGTGTCATTTTCCATTCCCTTTATCACATGGACCATGGTCAGTAAAGGTTAGAGGTGGGGTACTGGAGTTATAAAGAGGGATGAAGTTGAAACATATCTTTGGTTCTCTCAACACAACTTCTGTTTCCCTCCAAAAATTTCCTTCTGAGAATTATTTTTCTTGCACGGTAATTTTGCCTTTTAGGTTTCCCGTGTATTTTAGTGGAGGATACAAGTAATTGAAAGCTTGCTGCAATTTTTTGTTGCACCTCTCACTAACGCTGATTTTGCACTTGCAGCATCATTTTTCCAAATGTATCTTTTGTTATGAGGATTCCACTGAAGCATATTTGATTATGCCAATCAATTATTATGATTCAATTGAAATTTAATTTTTAAACACAATTCCATTCGAATTCAGTTGTTTTTGTGTCATGTTGGACTAAAGGACTTAGTAGAGAGTTTCCTGCTGGGGTTAATTCTTTTTTTTTTTTTTTCTTGGTAGGAAGGGGTTAATTCTTTTGAGATACATGACCGACTGATATTGGTTTAATCAATGTCCATAGATACCTTAACCCAAGTTAAAGTTCCGATTCTGGCCTATGCTCTTTCAGCTACTGGTTTTGTAAGTTCTAAAATGTTGATGCCATAAACATTTAGTGGTTATTCATTAGGGTTCTTTCATTTTTGCAATCAAAAGCCTGGGAACTTAAAAAGAATACATGTGTGGATTATTTCAATGCACTACTATGATTGAGACAATACTGCCTTTCCCATTCTCCTCATTGTTATAGGATTGGGGAACTTAGCAGCCCTTTAATTTGTGTTATTTATTTATGTCGTCAGTGTTGGGTTTTCGGTTGGGATATCTTCATTTTCCCTGGGTTTTTGGTTGCGGTTTCACACTTTTTAATTTGTTTATATAGGAACATATAAACAAATCCGCATTTGATGCGAAGCGAAGTGAGCGGGTCCTTCCTAGGAATAGGTGGGTTCGTGTGATTTGGTGCTAGGAATTGGTAGGTCGGAGCAAGAGAATTGATGCTTTTGCAGGTTCGTTGTATACTTCATTTGTCTTTCCTTTTAGATTTTTCTTTTTGGTCCGTCCTTTGGTTACTGATGTTTTTATAAGTAAGATGTGGAGGGTACAATTTCTATGTCTGGCTTACCGCTTTGCAAACCCACAATCCTTTTTCTTCTCAGTCTTCGTGTTTGGTTTATTTACTGCCTCGGTTGTGTGAGTCAGACTTTTGGGGAACTGGATGAGGGGGGTCATTGAACTGCCGGAATTGGTCTGTAAAATTCATGATATGTATTTATGTTTCTTCGCACTAAATCTATTATTCCTTTGAATGGGTAAAGTACACCGGGTTTGATTCGGATTCGATACCGTTAACTGTGCTGTTATTTGATTCCTCTCTTTTGTTGTCAATATGATTTCACAAGTTTAAGGGCAAGTATTTGTGCAATTGTGTTTGGTAGGCACATGGTGTCTTTCATAGACTATTTAGTTTCATTTTGGGATCTAAACCAAGTCAGACTTGAACACTGAACTTAGAGTGCGTCTGATGGATTATTTCCTGTTTACAGATTGAAATTCTCCATTGGTCTTGACATGTCTTTTTTTTTATGATCTAACTATAGTAGATTCTCTAGCCTTACATCTTGGATCCATTAGCATATATAATCTCGAAGATGTTTTTTTCATTACTTTTAATTTCAGTTGTTAAACTTGGTTCGGTTTGTTTGCATTAGCTTAGTACTTCCTGAATAAACTTTATTTTTTGTTCTAGGTCCTTTCACTTTTGTCCCACTGGAATGGAATGGAATTTGAAAATATACTAGCCAAACCTGCTTATTCACAAAATAAAAAATTACTTGGATAGATATAGAGTCTTATATATATGAAGAAACTTGCTCTAAAATATCATGATTGGTCCATAATCACTCATCGATTTAGAAGGTTCTATAATTGATGGGTTGGAAGGAACTATGAGTTTGTTTTGTGGTAATTAACTATGACCAACGCCATAAAGATGGATGGGCATATTTTCAGACCTGTTACCTAAGTCTATTTGCGATGGACAGGATGTATCGAAGACTTGGTGCTTGTGAGGATACTGTTGAGATTTTATGGTGGTCAGATGAGAAAATTGAAGTGTGCTTTTAGGCTTCAATTTAGTTACGGGAAGCCTTCCGTCGTGATGATATATGCAAGTAAGGTTGGAGTCCAGTCTTCTTTGTTTTCATTGTTTCTAGCTTTGGAATGATTTTGAATTGGTTGATAGGCCCTGTGGATCCCCAAGAACATCAGGTGGTCGGATGATGAGTTCCTAGATCTACAATGTTGAAACCGTTCTGATTTCGCGTGCCTGTAGATTCCTTTTTATTACATTTGGCCTATCTTTGCAACCTGTGAAACAAAGTGTGTGATGATGCCGTTGCTGATTTCTTATACGAAAATTGTGAATCTTCTTCCATTCGCAGGTTGTGAAATAAAATATGCAGTTTTGAATTCAAGGACTTTATGAAATGGACTCAGTTTGCTAGAGTTTTCTATTCGGTATGGTTGTGCTGGTGTTACTTTCCTGTAGGCATAATCTCTTTTTTAAAAGGAAGACCAGAAAGCTAGCTTTCTCAACTGAATTGCAAACTAAAAAAAGTCGAAGACCGTCATTCCCTGTCCACATATATATGCTTCATTATGTGTTTGGATGACAAGATGCACAATTCATGAACTGACTAATAAGGAAACCTATTGTGCATTATTCTTAGGAAAGGAGAATGCTTAGGGAATGCAGCAGCCGAAAGAGGGAAGTGGGAAGAGAGTAGTAGGGTTGCCGAACTGACTTACACTGAGAGAGGAAGAATGAATAGTATAAGGAGGGAAAGGAGAAGATGAGTTGGTAGAGGAGGAGAAAGACTCACATGCTGGCAGCACAATTTCCTTGCTTCCCGCTCAAGTTTTGAGGATCCGGTACTTCCTCCTCCCTCACCGCTCTCACTGTTGTTTTAGTTTTTCAGAATGAATGACACAGTGCAGAAGAAGAAGCAAATTAAGAACTCTTTAGCACTATTGGTGTTGAAATTGAAAGTTTTTAGGCATATATATAAATATATTGGTATTGAAATTGGAAGTTTTTAGGCATATATATAAATATAGGGGTGTGAAACGGTTCGGCCCGGACCGTACCAAACTCATGAGAACCGCGGTCCATTGGTGACATGCATGTTAGGATCAAGGACCGGACCATTCTTGCATTTGGTCCGGTTCAGTCCGGTCCAAATATGAGCTCGGTCCACCATTTCTTCAGTAATTATAAAATTCATGAGAACCAAGGATCGGACCGCATTTTACTCTATCTGGTCCGATCCGGTCTTAACAACGGTTTGGTCCGGTGTGGTCTGGTACGGACCGAACCATTGCACACCCCTATATAAATATATAATAGGGGAAATGCGTGTTTGAAAGACTGTCATTTTTTCCTTTTCTTAAACTCCATTCTCTTATAGATTTGATGCTATTTTATTTCACATACTGAGTAGGCTTGAAAATATTGTTGCGTTGTTTACAATCGTTCGTGGTTTTTGTGAAAGAGAATGACTATGGATTTGCATTCCTCGAAATAGATAGAGATATCATGTGTACAACTATTCTGCATCGTTGTCAATCACGATATATTGTCTCAGGTTGTAACATGTTGGAATTGTTCTTTCCCGCATGTTCTTTCTAAGTATATTATTTTTTTAAAATTTGATGCCTTTGGTTGAATTTATTGGTGTGGGTTCGAGTTCAGTTCCAGCTTGCGTTGGAACGAAGGCTTTCCTTCCATGCTCAATACAGTAACGTGAAGCAAAATACACCAATAGTACTTCAAATTGGTGTGAAAGGATGTCTTAGGGACTTGATGTAGTTGTTCATAGGTCGATTTTGCTACATGCATGCTTTCTGTCTCATTTAAATAATAGTATAATACTCTAATTGAATGCGTGTTGGACTTCCTTTGCACCCCGCTCTGTTAATGTGTAAACACGATATGTACTCTGCCTAATTCGAATGTGGTGTTGGTCGGAGTGATCCTTCTCCAGTTTAGGTCTTCCTTTCTTGCTGCTTGCTAGACAGTCAGGGCCCTCCTTTCTATTGACTGCCTTGAAGCATTCTCAATGTCTATAAGTTAGTTTGCCAATTTTATGTTGGGTATTTATGAATTCTAAAAGGGTAATCATTTGTGAATTTATGAACTCTGTTTTACGTCTGAGATTAGAATGCCTAGAGCCTAAGAAAACATCCTTTTGGTATATATCCAAACTGTGCGCGTTCATCTTTCCACCTAACTTTGCTCTTTTAAATGAGATACTGTTTTCATTTCGTGATATTTTTCACTAATGTAATTATTTACATAAAGTTAATTGCACTATCCAAATGAACAGTTGAATTGCTTTCATGCTGTGAATTGCTTAAATCACGGTTGTAGATTTTACTTGGCCTAAATTTCATTTATATGCAGCTCCTTATCCAACTTGGTGGATGTACATGTTTCTTTGCCTTCCAAGAGTGAGTGAAGAAATGATCCATTACCAAGCTAATCGACCTGCCAATTCTCTAATTCCTTAGATTTTGACTTTGTTGAAGAGACGGGTAAGGATCAAGCTTCTTTTTGAACGTATGTCCTTTGAGATTTGAGTTAAACAAGCTGATCTTAGAAAGCAAATTGCATCTGTTTTTTCCGTTGCCTTATGGAAAGTCCAAGTCACCATTATGGTCTTTGTTTGTACTACGTTGAATATTAATGTGAAACATCTTTTCTTTTCTTCCTAAGGGATTTGCAATTTCCTCCAGCATTACTATCATCGTCTCTTTTGTAGCCTTCTAATATTATCGTTCTCAATCGTGCTTAGCCAATGACCTGTTAAACAATCATTCCAACAGTTTTGAATCCCGCCGCGGAGCGCGGGCTTTCCGCACTAGTATATATATATTTGACAAGACAGGGCACATGCAGTGACTTGTGTCGATTAACTTGCAAGTTGCAACCAGCCAACCACCACCCTACACCTTTTGCCTTCAATTCAATTCATCAACCAAAAAGGTTAATTTAGCAATTTTTCCCGTTTCTAGAGACCTCCATGATTCTTAAATTTGCATACACACTAGTACTTGTTGATCTCTTCCATCTCCTTCCATAGCTCTCTCTCTTCATAAGAAACACAACCTTCTGTGTATTAGAAGTAAATTTCATACACGATCATATACGTTTTTAGTTTGAGTAAAAATGAACACGATCAAATCATAATTAGAGACACATATTTCATCCAATATATTAAGCGTTTTGATAACTTTAACTAATACTTCAAATAACATAAAAGATATAAATCACATTATATAAGGAAAAAGTAATTATCTTAATATCAAACAAACTTACATACAAGCACGATCAACAGTACTCGTATTTAAGTCGTCAATTTCCAATAGAGAAACCACAGCAGCATCTCCAAAACGCAAAGAAGGAAAGAAAACCCCAAAAGGCGACACACGATTACACAGTTACACAAACTATGCATCATGGACTGATCATAATCATCATATAACCAAAACCCACAAATTTCAAAATGCCGAAAACATATTTAGAGAAATTAAAAACCCCATCAATTCTTCCAAATTTTGATCTAGTGGCTTTCTTTCTCCTTCTCCTTCTCCTTCTCCTTCTCTTCGGCCTCACTTCCCTTGGCGTGGTATCCGGGTAGCTTCTCCTTGATCTTCTCCAGGAACCCCTTCTTCTCCTCCGGATGAGCAGCTGCCGCCTCCGCAGGCTCGTGGTGTGGCGGCGCCGCCACCGCAACAGGGGTTTCCTCCGGATGATCAGCGGTACTACTCTTCTTGCCGGGCAGCTTGTCCTTGATCTTCTCCATGAACCCCTTCTTCTCCTCTGGAACGACGTCGTCGCACTTCTCCACGGGGACCGAAGTGTCCTCTTCCTTCTTCTTCTTCTCCTTCTTTTCCTTCTTCTTCCTGATCTTCTTTCCGTCTTCCTCTACCTCCTCCTCGCTCGACTGTCCCACCATAAATTAACATATATCTTCCTCAGCTAATTACACCAATCAAATTTAAGAAAAAGAATTAATACTTAATTAAAATATGAGAGAGGCTTACGGAGCTGGAGGAGCTGCTGCCGGATCGGTGAAGCTTGGAGAACAAGCCACCACCGCCTTCTTCCTTCTTGATCTCTTCCTCCTCTTTCACGGGCTCGGAGACTTGAACCTTCTCCTCGAACTCGGACGACATCGCAGCTTCTTCCTGGTGGTGGGGCGCCTTAGTGGTCTCCACGTCGTCCTTCTTCCCCAAGAAATCGAACATCCCGCGGTCCTTGACCTCCACGTCATCGTGGCCGCTCTTGTTCTGGAACTCTTCCGCCATTGTTGTTGTGAGAAGACTTGGAAAAAAAGATACACTGACGGGTTTTTTTCGCTTTGTTTCGAATTGTATAGTGAAGAGAGTAAAGTAGTTTGTTGATGTGGGTGATGAATATGGAAGGGTGGAGAAGGGTGGGCTTTTATACTAGTTTGGCCACGCGGACTTGACGCGTGGAAGGAAGGAAATGGAAGGAGGAAGAGAAGGAGAGGAGGATCCAATGGTAACGGTTGTAACGGACGTGGAGCAGTTGAGCCGTTGATCTGTGTGCGGAAGGGGAAATGGGGGGAATTGAATAGTGTTTTTGGACGGTGTGGTAGCCGCCCAGATTCTGACAAGTGTCGGGGGAGTCGGCAAGTTTCATCATCCTTTTGATTAAATATGAGATATCTGAGCTTAATTTTCATTCAGAATTAAGAGATAATAATAACATTATTAGCATGTTATTCATTAAAAAAAAAAAAAAGTGGTCATATCTTGGTCGTTTCGTTTCATTGCTCTTGTGATGACTGATGAGTGGTCTGCACATAAAAAATACAACTTATCCTCTTAATAAATAATATATTGCTTCATGTAATTATCGATACAGTGATTATGAAAGATAACACAAAGAGCCAAAGTAGATGAAGTAGTTTTGATTCAATCCCACTTCAGTTCAATTCTCTACTGAATTTCCTACAAGTACGATATAATAGATTATTAGGGGTAATGTTTAGGGGTGAATATACGGTCCGGTCCGGTTAAATTGTACTAAATTGATTCGGTCCTAGTCCGGTCTTTTCGGGAATATAAGGTCCAAAGATTGGATTGTATACAGTCCGGTCTTGATCCGGTCCGGTCCTAATTTGATCTTGATTTGAGGTGTTGGGGGTCTCTTATCCGGATTTTTTTACCTCAAATCTAAATCCAAATATGAGATTGGATTGATTGCTATCCGGTCCCAGTCCGGTCCCGATCCGAATTATACGGTCCGGTTTTGGGTAAACCAAACAGTCCGGATCAAATAGCGAGCCCTATTAATAGTAATATTGATGGATCAAATAAAAATTGAAACAATTTGGCCAATAATTTTATTTTATGAAATAAGCCAATTAATACGATTGAATTAGAATTTCATTTTAAGAAGATCCTACACGTAGTAAGTGGTAATAAATTGTGTGAATAAAACGTACGCGAGGCAGGCAGTCAAAAAGGAAAAGTTCGAGAGAAAGAGGGAGACACATTGTACGGCTTCCAGCCAATAAGAAGGAAGACACGTGGATGTGTGCAACGTGAAGGGGCTGTCCTACGCGGCCCGAAAGTGTCGGTCTGGAAAGGATAAATACGACGATGGAGGTGGAGGGGAGCAACAGCAACAGCAAGAGCAAAGGTCGGTGTGGGGGCCCAGTGAGCGAGCTGTCCGGTTGGGTGATGGATCAGGTGGGGTCACGTTTTAATTGGTCCCCATTAGTTCTGGCGTCGGTAACGGGCTTCAATTTTTTTTTTTTAATTAAAGGTCCGAACCACCTAGGTCTCGAGATTGGCGTCACGGGGGGCCGGGGTAAAGGTGCCATAAAGTACCCTTAGTTTGATCCTTCTCCATTTATAGTCCTTAAACATTTAGTATTGGTAATATGTGTAACTCGAAACTCGAATCAAGTAATTTTCCTTATTATCATCAATCTGCTACCCCTTTTTCTTAACTTGATAGCGCAAAACTCGGTTTTATTTCATTCACATCGATCGAAATTCAAGAACAATCTGATTTGAATAAGAACCCACTCTCGTTTTTGTCTTCTGTCGAAGTTCTTTTTTAAACTCATCCTTGCTCCTCATACTATTTCATCATAACTCAAATTATCTCCATGATTCTATTTGCTATGCTTTCTGAGTGTGTGCACAAAATCATATACTATTTGTCTATAGTTTTGAACTCGAGATATAGTTTAGTTTGAGCTTGTAATTTTTCAAGTACCGTGTGAGTTTTCTAAAAAAAGTTATCACATGTAATACGTTTATACTTTATATTACCTAAACTCATGCTACACTTATAATTATGCAAATAGTACATAGAGATCGAATCCCACGTTCTCACTGGATCACGGATTTACTCGTATTTTGGTTTTGTAGTCATTAGGACCAGATTGTCGATGCTGAGACTTTGAGGATGAAAGTGTGGGCAAAGGTCATGGTTAATAGCAAAGTTTCATCCTCGTACGGCCACGAGCCTCATGAGTCATGATGACAATTAGTGGTGGTGTTCCTGGTGGATGAATAGATACAAGTGTTGATTTACTCGAGTTTTTGGTTTGAGGTTTTATGTCGACCAAGGCGACGTCGTTTTCTCAAGATGCGAGTAGGCGCTTTGGAATTTGGCTGGCTGGCTGGCTTGTTTCTGGGGACAGATGGTCGGTTTAGTGCTTGATAAAAATACCATTCCCCCCAAAGCTATATATTGTTTTCCATTTCTTTTTCCCTTTTTGCTTCTCAATATATTTATAATATCTTTAACTAATGATTTAGTTAGTTGAGGTTTTGTGATATCGTCACTAAAATTCTTTTCCAACTCACCCACGTCTCTTCCTTTAGCTAAATTGAAAATACGATACGTACGTGTGGATGGGATTCTGGAAAGCAACTCACCGGTTCCACCTTCTTTGATCGTTTGGCTAACCAGTCGACAAGAAAACGACGAAATAGCCACAAAAAATGAAACGAAAGGATTGAAATTATGGATTCGTGGCTCTTTAGCTCACCGTTCAGTTTCTTTGGGTGGTTCATTATAGTTATTAATAATTAGAGATCATCTCGTGAATAAATATCGTTGTAGCAATCTAAGTCATCGGCTCATTCATGGAATCATGGTACAACGATGTTGTAACAATGTGATAGTATCAGGGTACATGGGTCGGGTGGTCCGGATTTAGACATTTTAATCACCCGACTCATGCACTGCGGTTTGGAAAATATTAAACTCAAACCCACCAACAAAATTTAAACCCTACAGTTTGTTTCTAATTGGGTTGGATCGGGTTGGCGATATTTTTAAGTAAAAACCCAACCCAACACAAAATATGTAATTAGTCTACACCATAAAAATATTTTATAACTAATTAAAAATTTAAACGAATAGACCAAAGTGAAAGGTATCAAAATTCACAAATATTGTTTGAATTTTAATAAAATTTGATTTTCTTCAACTTATGTCTAGTTTTTTTCACGACATTTGGTGAAATAGGCCAAACAGGTTATAAATGAACGCATCCATAATATGTTATTCTATTAAAATTGTACACAAGAAAAATAATTACGTGAATCATAGCTATATTA